CATCATCATCATCATCATCAACATCATCATCTTCTTCTTCCTCTTCATCATCATCATCTTCATCACCATCATCTTCATCATCATCTTCTTCGTCATCATCATCATCATCCTCAGCCGCATCATCATCACCATCATCAGCATCTTCATCATCAGCATCATCATCATCATCATCGTCATCATCATCATCTTTTCTTCTTCGTTATCATCATCCTCATCATCATCCGCAGCCTCATCATCATCACCATCATCAGCATCATCAACAGCATCACCATCATCATCCTCATCCTCATCCTCCTCATCATCTGCGTCATCATTAGCATCATCTGCATCAACATCACCATTTTCATCATCCTCATGACCATCATCAGCCTCCTCATCCTACTACTACTGCTACGACTTCTTCTCCTCCTCCTTGTCGGTCGCCCGCCGGCCCAGGTGGACACGAGGATGGTAGACCTGAGAGAATGACCGGCTGCATGGCGTCCAGGTTGGAAGAAGGAAAAGGGCATGTCACGCGCAAGGAGATGCTGCGCAGTAAAGCAGTTTGAAAGGCTTAATTGAAAGACCTGACATGAGGAAGCTGAAGCTCGAAATTTAAAGAAACTAAAAGTAGAACAAGGCTGTTACACAAAGAAAGCACTGTCAGCGAAGTTGCGGCACAAACTTTTCAGCAGCGTGATGGACCTGCACCAACGGCTTTCTTTGAAGCAAATCACCCTGTACGTCTGCGCCGTTTCCGCGGCGGCTCAGCAGCAGTTGTTCGACGCCCGGTACGCTTGCGAGCTTTTGGGACATCATTGAGCAGTAATGAGTCCGAAGGGAATGTCGGCAGCGCCAAGCTGCGAAGGAACGTCGAATGCTCGCACTGGGCATGCATTGTTGCGGCAGCACAAGAACAAAGGAGGGACGTCGGCCGCGCCCGCACATACACAACATCTTCAAAGTGAAAGCGAAGGGCCTGCAATGAAAGATTGCCGGAATCGTCAAACAACTGAGGCAAACTGTTTGCATGCAGCAGCGTCGGCTGAAGAAGGAACCGCAAGATTCCCTGCGCCAAGCTACGATTCACCGGCGATGTGGCGGCAGTGGCTGCACAGGCAACCCACGAATGATCTGTGGACTGTTGAAGGACATAGCACGAGTTCGGTGGCAACTTGGAGAAGTTGGCTGCTGTAGTGCGCCCGGCTCGCGCTAAAGCCGCACCATTGACTAACTGAGGGTCCTGTCCGGCCGGCTGAAAAGACAAAGGCGAAGCATCCATCCAAGAGTACCAGTCTTGCCAATGTTGTGTGTAGAGCCTTTGTAGGACGCACAAGCAATGGTTGATGTCTCCACGGCCACCGAGAGAAGCCAATTCCGTTTGCCACGCGCCATGCACAGCTTCTGCGGGCTCACTGCCGCTGCCCGATCCGGGTATAATGCCATCAAAGCCAACCCAGAAACTCACATAAATAAGATCCTGTGGGCCAGCGGCTTGCTCGGAAAAGATAGATGGCAAAGGCCGCTCGTATGATTGCAACCAATCGGCTAGAATCGGTTCATCCATGCGTCGCAAAGAAGCCAGGAAAGCTTTCCAGAGCCAGCTAAACAGAGGCAATGTCGGGATGAACCGCAGCAGCGACACCACAGTCAAGGCATAGTGCAAATGCTTTTTCACATGTTTTCCTTTGTGAAGAACAACCTGACGGCACTTGGACCGCATGACCGTGTGAGATTCTTCTTTGAAATGGAAAAAATCATCACATGCCCGAGAGTGTGGGAAGACTTCTCGACGAGCTTCTTCGGCGCTGGGGTGAAAGTCCTTGTGGATTTGAAGGCTTCGCTGCTCGGGCAGAGGCAAGCGGCTCGGCTGGCGTTCTGCCCACAAGTCGCAACAGGTCCGAAAAAGGCGGCAATAGTTGGGCTTTGTTTCGGCGTGAAAAATTGCCTGCGCAACGGGCATGCCATGCGACGTCCAAGCACGGCTTTGAGTCCGAGAGCCTTTGCCAAGTTTGGGCAAGCGCGTCTTGCGCAGCTGGTCCTTGACCAATAAGCTGACTGTGGCCACGCCCATTCCGCGGGTCAACACCTTCATCTTGGTGTCCACAGAAAGGGCGACATCTAGACCAGTGTAACGGTCAAAGGTGTTCAGCGTCCCGGGAGAAGCGAAAAGGATACAGACTTCCGTATCCGTGATGATTGGGTCCCGCAGAAGAAACAATGCATCGATTTGCTTTGGAAGGCTTCGTGGCAACTGACTAACTTCCAAAGCAACCGCTGCCACAACAGACTTGTCTTTGTCGAGGGCATCCTTGTTTTTGCGGCTGTTGTTTCTCAACCAATTGGCAAGCTGGGTGTTGTCAGGCAATGATGCATCGGCGCAGCCTGCAGCTAGAAGGGCCACGCGCAAATTCTTGGCCCCACGGCCACCTCCGGAGAGGAAGCGGGCAGCAATTTCGCGCTGCTTTTCGTTGAAGATTTTCCCTGACGCACAAGGTACAGCACCGTCATGCCCGGTGTGTTCACCAGATGCCTGAACGACCAAAGTTCCAGGGCTGTACAAACTCTTGCTGAGAATGTAGTGGGTTCGCCAGCAATGGGTGCACAGTTCGCTTTCTACGCAGCGAACCTCACTCAAAATGCGTTCTTTGTTTTGCCACAAAGTCCGCACGGCCACTCTGGTGTCAGCCCATTCAGGTCTGCGGCGCAGGTGCTGCAAAAGCTGCTGGTTGGACATCAAAGGAGACCCAAGCTCCACCCGAGAAATGTCGCGCCACTGGATGGCTTGCTTCTTCTTCCTTGGTTTGGCTGGTTGATTTGGGTGGGCACTTGCACCGCCACGCGCAACTTGTGGAGACGGTTTTGCAACACGAGGCACTGCACTTTGCAAAGGTTGAAGCTCTTGCTCCCCGGAGTCCACTGCTGTGTCTTTGCTTCCACACACACCCGAATCAACGTCCACGCACCCCCCCACGGCAGGTGCCTAGAAAAGCTGCATGATCAACATGTGAACGTTTTCCGAAATGGGAAAGTGGCACCCGGTGTTTCCGCAACCAATCCAAACAACCAGGAGACAGTGACCCGACATGATATTTGCGGAATCGCGCAGTACCACCGGAGCTGCACAGCTCCCCAAGCCCAAGGTCTTTCAGCTGCAACCACAAATCAGCGATGCGTTGGCGGGCCAGATCCGCCGCGTTGCAGGAGCCTTTCTCGATACTTCGTTTCAATGCCAGGTCTGCACAAAAAATGTGTTCCAAGGTGATGACAGAGCCAGGCGCTCCCCGCAAAATGCGGAGCAGCAATGGGAGTAAATCATCCTCCGCGTCGCGGAAGTCGTGCCGACGGTGCAACCAAGTTTGCTCTTTGGAAGTGACGCTGAGGATTGCCTGGCCAAAAAGATACCGCTTCAGCATGAATTGGACACTCGCAATGAAACACTCGTTGGACACAGTCGTGGGAAACTCATCCGGCAAATCACGCCCCAACGCACTTGGCCACAAATTCGCCACCAGGTGGTTTGTCAGCACGGCGGTGCCCAGCCAATACATGGCCTTGGGCATGGCCTCCCGAAAGACCGTGTGCACGGAATCTTTGCGAGCAAACAAGCGGCCAATCTCTTCAAGCTCAACAATGACCGCACGCTGTGCATGTGTAGTTTCAAAGACAAAGTCGGCTGAAGTGGTAATATGAGGCCCAAACCGCCGGATGATAGCACTAAAAAGCTGCTTGAGAATAGGCACAGTGACATCTTGCAAGAAGCCATTCCAAGACTGCTTGCCCATATTCAAACGAGCTCCAAAGGAAAAGAGAAAGCGCTGCACCAATCCAAGTGGTTTGGTTGCTGCCACTGGCGCCCACCAATTAGAAAGAAACAGTTCCTGCTGCAAAAAAATTATGTGAACATTTGTTTCTTTCAAAGTCATGCCAACTGGTTCTGGCACAGGGGCTGTTGGATCAGGAACCTTGTGCTTCAACACTTTTTGGCGGTCAACTTGGGTGCTGAAGCTAAAAGAGCCACCGTGGGCAGCATTGAGAAACAGTTGGAAATCAATGAACTTGGATGGGTCAGTGGCTCCACCGTTGGCAAAAGCAGGGCAAAGGCAGGCGCCAGCTTCATCCGAATGTATTGCCAGATATCCGTCACAGAAACGAAGCTTTTCGCGAGCCGCTGCGGAAGTGCTGCCCTGTTGCAGGTGAAACTGGTCGCCAGGTGAGCCCACGGTGAAAGCTGTGTTCTGGTGCAACGCCCTCTCCACAGCTTCGACGACTGGCATCATCGCTGGTGACTTCCCTTCAGCGACGTTTGCAGTGCCAACCATCCAATACCGATTCTTGGTATGATACCGCTCAGTGAGTTGCACGCCGGCCCGCTTGTGCACCACTGCATTTCCGAAACTTTGCACTAGATCGATCCAGAATACCAGTGGAATAGCCGTGGCTCGGGCTGTGGCTTCAAGCAGGACGGCCAAAGGGTAGACCATGGTGTCTCCGATCCATGGCACGACTTCAAGAGCAGCGTGACTGTTCACATTGTCCAAGCAAAGGTCAGAGACTTGCGCCTGGTAATGCTCCGCGATCTTGTCCAGAGTGACCTCCGGGTCGGCTGAGAAGAGGGGAAGTTCAGAGAGAAAAGCACGACAATCTCCTGCGTTCTCAAACAATTCAAGAAGATGCAGGGCATGGTCACCCAATGCATCATGGCCATGGCTTTCAGGCAAAAATTGCGGCGGCATCTGCGGCTGGTGGATGGCAGAAGCAGTGGCTTGCAGCGTCTCAGTTGCACCTGTACCGTCCTGGCCAGGGAGCAAATCAAGCGGTGAACGTCAAAACAGCGCAAAAAAAGGACAAAGCCGACAGGTGTGGTAACCAGGAAAAGCAGCCCCAAAAAATGAAACCGTTCTGGCCCACCTCCGTCAAAGAAGCCGACAATGGAGCGCTGAAATCCAACGCATCACGGCCATGACCTTCAGGCAAAATGTCCGGTGGCATGGAGCCCTGGGGCAGGCCAGACGCACGGGCTGGCTTTGTACCTTCTGCACTTGGATGCACCTGGTCGAGGGATCAAAGAAATCAATGAACGTTAAAAAACGGACAGGATTGGCGGCGGATCAAAGAAACTAAGCAAGGTCAAAAAACAATGCACAAAAATGAAGGGAAATGGACTAGCAAAACGTGTAGTCGAAAGATCCCACCTCGGTCGGAGAAGATGATCGTGGTGAAATAGCTTCTTGAACTCGTTCATACAAGAAATACCTCGCATGAGTCTGTAAGTGTGAAGGGTCAGTCGGAAAACGTTTGGGTGCATCTCCATCATTGTACTGCACCCACACGTCATCCGGCGCCAGCACAAATGCAACATAGTGACCACGGTGGTAGGAGTCCCCTCGATGCAGTACTGCTGCCCGGAGGCGATACACGTAGTTTGCATGTTCAAACTCAGGGGGCGCAAACACAGCCGTGCGGTTCAGGGGCAGGCCAGGATCGGTTTCGCGAACGAGCTGTATGAGCGCAACGTCCCCCAAGTGCCATGATGAAACTTGATGCAACACACTTTTAACTTTGCAAAGTGGACATTCCAAACCTCCATCAACAATCTCCTCGCTGTGAGGTAAAAGCAAGTCTGTCAAGTCAAGGGCAGCAGTTTCATCAAAGGGTGGAAGAGAGATTAACGCCACTGGGTGTGGCGCAAGCACGGGCTGACAGGTTGGAAGTTCAATCGGGCACTGGCACCGCACCTCATGGCTTCGTGTTTGCAAATATTCCACTGTCAAGATGTTCAAGACTCCGAGATCAATGGCAGCAAGCTTTCCCAAAAATTCCAAAGGGTCTTGCTGGCGATCAAAAGTAAGCTGCAAGCCGCGCAGTGGCTCGGTCCACACCGGCTCCAAATCAGTCGCCGATTCACGAGGAGAGCTCACAGCATGCGTTTCTCGCAAGGCACACTGCCAGCAAGAGCTTCCACATTGTCTGGTCTGCTGGTGTTGAGAGATGGAATTAACTATGGGCAAGCATGCAAACATGGACTGCAGCAAGCTAGCCAGCCAACAGGATGTGCCCGAGACGTTGGGAAACACGCCGCGGAAAGAGAAGCCTGCGACGGAGCACGACGAAACGGACGAGCGTGAAGTCCGACCCCCCACGATCTCCAACCCCACCTGCGGTGTTGCCGTTGGAAACGTGAGCTGCTTTGTTGCGACACTTGCGTGAAATGGTCCACCGGAACGTGGTCAAGACTTGCGCTGCAGCAGTTCCAAAAGGAATGTGGGGGCTGAGGTCGGACACGCTGTGCACAACCTCGCAAGTCTTGACCGTTCTATATGCCTTTGCAAACTTTAAAAGGCCTGCAGTACCAACGGCTGCAAGCTAAGCATGGACCAGCCTCGAGCTCCAGCGCCGGCGCCATGGCGCGGTTGTCGGAAATCTCGCGCAGCCTCACGATGTGCAAACGCAACAAAACCAAAGACTAAACACAGTCATCAGGACCGGACGCAGTCGTCACCAGAGAACGTCGCCACGCCCGGGTGGGGCGACCCCACTGCTGCGTGTTGCCTCACACGAAGCAAAGCAGAAACAAAGACAGCCAACCCCGCAGGTGTACAATGACTAAGGCCCCGGCACCACGCTATGTCGAAGAACAGCCCGAAAGGACACTCCTGTCAAAAGTCTCATGCGCTGGCAACCGAAAAGTCGGCGCGAGCCACACCCAGCCTCCTGCGCTTGCCTCCAAGCAAAATCCAGAAAAGCATCATCCTGGAAGGGCCGAATCTCTGCAAGAACAAACCAGCCGAGCCTAGGAAAGTGGAGTATACGAGCATCCGATGCACACAGCGCAGCTAACCGCCTCCGTCGTGGTAGCACACGGGCCACGAGCACGGCGGCGCCTGACTGGATAGCAGGAACCGAGCATGTGAAAACCACGTCTGACACTGACGGACCTGTGCTTTTTCTGGGAGCACGGGGTGGCCTGCCGCGGACGTGCCATGAAGAACCGGTCCCACCCCGAAACGTCGCGCAACTGTGAGGCTTCGACCGTGCGAACTGGCTCCAGGGCTTCCTGTCACAGCAAGACAGCAACGAGCAACGGCTGTTACGCTGCTACGCCCTTACAGCTCAACATACATACTCTGCACGGGGCCTGTGGAACATCGTTGCACGGCACATGGATCCACCCCACCTGGCAAACGATTCTGTAGCAAAAGCGGTCCAGGCGTGCACGCACTGAGGCCCGGACAGGGGTTTTCAAGGTGAGGCTGCAGCCCCAAAACTTGCGGAGAAACCTGTCCACGTCGAACGCCTGGCAGCGCCGCGCGCAGTCATCGCAGCAGAAGTTTGCAGCGCAACGGGCCTCCAAATCGCAGTCAGGATCGTCCGCCCAACGCAGCGCCATCAGGGGAGCCTGGTGGAAAGCACCGGCACGGAAAACGGAAGTCAGGGAGAAGCAAGAGCAACTGCAAGAAACTTCTGAGAGTGCGGCAGTGGAATCTGCAGCCCCGGAACAGAACAAACTCTAGAACCAGAACTTGCAGCAAGGGAGGCACCAACGGACATGCAGAGGGCAACCGGGGGAAGCGGAAAAACGACAACGCTTGACTCGCACCGGCTGAGCCGCTGGCACTCGAAGAAAATGACGGCAGCGCAGCCTTGGCAACAAGAATTGGCAAAGCCCCACCGCTGAGTGAGAAGCCTCTGGGCGCCAAGCTCCGCGACCAAAGCTCCGCGACCCAACGCGAAGATGACGGCAGCGCAGCCTTGGCAACAAGAACGAGCAAAGCCCCACCGCTGAGTGAGAAGCCGCTGGGCGCCAAGCTCCGCGACCAAGCTCCGCGACCAAACTCGAGGAGGATGGCAGCGCAGCCTTGGCCGCGACCAAAGCTCCGCGACCAAACTCCAGAAACAGCCAGGCACGTTATTTGAGCTGCTGGCCGCTGGCGTTCGAAAAAAGTGATCAGAAGGCAGCCTCGGCTACAAGATTCCACGATGACAAGCTAAAGGGGTACCGGCGCAAAAAACACCGACCAACTGTCGCAAAAAACACCGTGGCTGGGGCACCGACGCAAAAAACACCGATTGCTGGTAGACAAAACACCGTACAAGTTGACTGTCTGGAAGAACACCGATTACTGACGCAATAAACACCAAGCCCCTCGATCTGAATGATAGCAGGGCTGTTGCAGAGGGAGAACTCCCGACTCCCGACTATTGATTCACCCATCTGCAATGTCTGAACTAGGTTGCACCCCGAACAGCTGCAAAGTCAAAGAATGCTGTGTGACTAATACCCGGTTAATCCTGGTTACTAGGCCTCAAGCTTCACAAAACCCAGCTTCAGCTTCCTTCACTCTCCAAATCAGGCGCCCATCCATGTGTTTCTGTGCACCGTCCACATCGACATCGCCTAGCCCCGTGGCCTTTGGCCTGGACCATCAAGAAGCCGTCCGTGGATAGAAACACGCCCGTGGGCTCGACCACCTGCGGTCGCTGCGGCGACCATGCGGTGCAGATCCGGATGCGGATGGGATGGATCTCGGTGCTCCGATCGGTGGCAGGTGGGATGATTGACTGGTAGCAAAAATAGCACTGGGATGGGGGGGCTCACTGGATCTAGGGCTAATATTGAGAGCTGGAGCTGAGAGAGAGAGAGAGAGAGAAAGACCTGTGGAAAACACGGCTCTATGGGGCTCTATTTTTGAACATGGACAGCAAGTGAAGCAGAGCAAAGAAAGGTCTGTAATTGAACTGATGGAACCACTTGCTCCGAACCCTGGTCAAAATTCTTTAACGTGTGAAGACCCGGTCCAAATCGCATGACATCACCAATTTTAGGAAGAAACACAATTAAGTCTGCTGCATCGGGTGCATGTGGCCAGCGTTGGCATTGCCTGATTCTTCCCTCTTTCGTTTTGCTCCGAAAAAGAAAAATCGTCTCCGACCGCCCGGCCTTGGCTCTCTTGGCATGCCGCCGCTCCCCAAAGCGCTCCTGGGAACCGACAGAGCCGATGTCGAGATCCTTCGAGTCAACAAACACCGGGGGTTCAAAAAGACTCTCCACAGCTGGAAGTGGAACATTGCCCGTGCAATAACAGCTTTCTTTCACAAGCAGTGGGTGTTCCGTAGCCAGTGAGTTGGAGTGCAGGAATCATGCAACTTCCTCCCCCTTGCCATCGTGTAGTTTTGGCGCGAATGTCTCAGAATAGGCCCACCTCACAGCCAACGGGCTGACCAGTTGCTTTTTGGGGGTCTCTGTATTCGATTAGCAACGTGCACACCCATTTGCCAGTTGGACTGGGGATCAAAGGTATCGATAGTGTCGGTTGTCATGCTCAACTCTAGTGGTCGAAATGGTGTGCTCAGAATAGATTATTTTTTAAAAACATATATATTATATATATATTCAGCTATTTTCATGCAAAGCCATATCCATCTCAGCTACTACAGAAGCTATAATGAGAATGAATTATGAGGTCTTGACACAACATCTGCAACTTCATCAAATCTAGTGCAATATCCGAACCAATCATCCCACCCACAAAGGAGACATACAGGCCCCATGAACCCCTGAACTGTCGTGTGCAAAGGTGCAATTCCATGCAGCTCGGCAAACAGGCCTCGTCAAAGGACCTCTTCACTCGGGTCCAAGCCTCGCGACACATTATGAGATGCAAAGTTGGGATTGATCGACACCGCTTGACACCGCTTTGTATCATCTCATCACTATCTATATAGTAATTAGTCTTATATCACTGATATCTTATATGTAGTCAATATATGTGGATATGACAGTAGTTTAATACATAATATATACGTGTTCGAGATCCATGGAGGTGTGATGTGGTGTTGGACCTTCTAAACATCTAGGGTACGTTGTACATTGTGGTGCATTCCGTTAAATGCCACTATGGGCCTGCACCCGCCAAAAGGAGCAGCCTGTAGTCAACTCCTGTGGATCTCGTGTACATGGCCAACGTATGCAACGGTGAGTGCTTTGAAGAAGGAGGAGGCGACCACAACACATCAATGTTGCCTAAATTTAATGTTGGATAATGTTGGGTATTGACACCAGTGGATTATGGGGTGATCACTCACCGGCCATCCATAGCCATCCTTTCAAGGACCCCTCTAATTCCTCCCCCTACACAGGAAACTCCACAAACACTCCATGCGCGGCTGAAACCAAAATGCGTCCCGCGTTCGATTAAACACCTCATACGCCCCCCCCCACCTCCTCAGAGCCTTCCTGCAAGGTCACGAAGATGTTCACCGCCTCAAGATTGAGAGAATCACAGAGATCGGTGTAGGATGCAGTCGCATCCTCAATTCTGTATCATTTGACTGAGATGCTAGACAATACCAAACAAAGTGTTAGGTGTGTGCTATCCATTAACAAGCTATGCACTAAGTGACTTACCACTGATCTTGACAAGCAACAAAACAGCTTCACATATTGTTAAGTTTCCCAAACAATCTAAAAACCATCATTAGTGTAAGCGCTTCTTCAAGGAAGCTTCCCCCGCCACCTTTAGGGGAGCTTCGTTGAAGAAGTGTGAGCTATCCTGCGTCCATACTAGTAGCTACTTAAGCTACTAGCTACCTCTTCTACTGGCTACCTAAGTTAATCTACCTCACCTCTACCTCTCCCCCCGGTGATAAACACATGTGAACAACAAACTGTTAGGTCAGCAGTCACATCGATGAGTTGTCGGACCTTCTCCAAAATAGCCTTTATGAGCCGCATCTACATTGCACATCAAGATAGCATCTAACATCATCTAATCGAAACTTGAGATACAACCATTTCGTACCCCCGCCCAACTTGCCTCCCGGATGACCCTCAAGTTCACGCAAAGGCGAGTGCGCACCTGGCATCATCAAACTCGAGGCACCGTCAATCAAACACATACTGAGGAGGCGCAGTGGGAGCTTAGTGCTTAGCTGCTTAGTCTGAAGCACAAAGTGTCACATCGTTTCTGATTTCAGAAGACTAAGACCGTGGAGAATCTTCTGCTGGTAATTAGTTACTGAAAAGTTGATTGGATTACTGTACAGTAGCTCTGTTTGTACCAACAAGACTGGCAACAGTTCATCTTTCAGGTTGCAAACATGCCCAATCTGACATAGCATCCTCGCAAAGGAAGAGACAGTCATTTTCCAAGCCCACCTCTGGGTCGCCGTGTTCGGACCGGGTGCATCTATAAACGCTTCCTCGAGGGTCGCATGCTCTACTTCCAGACAAGGGTTCCGGCGGACGAGTTGGCCGTTCCAAGATCTACGTAGTAGAAGTGGAACCCCAAAGACATCCAACATCATCCGACATCATAGACAAGAATGATAAGATATATGATATATCGTGAAACATCTATGATTGGGCCATCTGCGCAGTCCGGTCATACCTCCCTCCGGGTTTAACCGATTCCTCTTCTGCCCAGGCCTCAAACTTGGAGGTCTCGGTCACCAGCACGGTCCGCTTCCTTGATCGGAGCGCAAGTCCAAGCCACGTTGGGACGGCGTGAGAGAGTAAAATGAGACTTATCATCGTGAAATCATATGATCTGTCACCAATGACCATCTTCAGTGGCCATGGCTTAGAAGATGCACACATACTCGGGCAAATCCGTTGTTTTTCGACAAGTCCGTGCAACCCTTTCTGCATTCCCCGTGACCGGCCCACGCTGAGCCAGCTCTTCAAGTTCCGACCCTGAAATACACAAAAAGAGCAAACATGAGCGGACAATATAGGGAATGAGTAGAATTATACTATATAGGGAATGGTCTGATAATATGTTTACATGATTTTACATGAATTCCTCTAGCACATCCTGAATATTTAATTGTTAAGTGAGACACACGTGGGACCGCGACAGCCACCAATCCGACTACCTGAGATGAGGCTACATGGTGCTCATGGCAGGTCCTTGTAGAGGGGTCCCGCAAGAAAGAACGAGAGATACAGTACTCAAGAACTCCCTTCCTCCTAAAGGGATCTAAAGAGTAGCTCCAACAGAATCAGTGCTTCAGGAGTAAAAATTGCTCATCACTGGAAATATCCCCGACCAAAGTCAAGCACCCTTCGTGGAGCAACGATCAGGTTCTTTCAGACCAGCTTCTTTTGGATGGCCTCTGCCCATCTTTCTGGCACACTTTGGTACCATTCAGGGAAGACGCTGGCAATGTGCCCATCACCACCTGGGGGGCCGGCCCACACGTTGCTCCTTGGGGAGAAACTCCCAAAACAGTATAAATACTAGGATCAAACATCAAATGAGTCAAAGGATCAAACATAAAATGTGTTTTCTAGGCCCTAAGTGAGTGGAGTGGATGGATCATGGACGCCCCTATGCCCTACGCTATCAATGGATGTTTTCTCCATAATATAGTGCCTTCTTCGTCACGAGGTCGGGAGGGGTCTTCAGTTGTTTCAACAGCGCATCTGATCGACGGCTTTTTTGCCACATCTTGCCACGCTGCATCTGCTTGACAAAGATGAGGGCGATGAACGGTCATGACTGGTCATGAGTCAGGAGGAACTCTTCTACATGAAAAGCGCGGGGAGGTTCATCCAGCTGGGCAAAATCTCTACGCCTACTTTCCCATCTTAAAATCAGGCCTGATGGCCAAATTGATCCGCTCACATGGCATGTCACAAAAACAGCCCATTTAACAGAAGAATCTGCTTGCGGTGAAGATCAAGCAGCTAAGAGACTGGGTGCATCGCTGGATTCGTGAATCCCTGACCGTTTCTCGGGTCACTCGTTGAAGATAGGAGAGCCACATGCACCAAATTATATAGGTGTTTGATGATGGGCATTGTGCTTTCGTTATAACTTCTTAGAGACCAAAGGTTTGTGACGCTTGTGGTGTCCCTCACAGCGCCAGCCCCTCGGCTGTTGCGAGGCCAACCAATGGTCAAAACGCCCGTTTAGAGCTTTGGAAGACAGCCATGTCCATGTCTCTTGAGTGTCCAACCCAAGCCAAAGGTCACCAAATGAGGTCCGCTCTCCTGCAGACATGTCCGCGCCACACAATCCGAAGGAAGAGTTGTGGCAAGAGAGCGCACGAAATGGTCTTCAAAGGGGCATTGAACTATAGTTCCGCCCCCAAAACATTCTGAAGACAAGAAGCACAGATTCCCAAGAATTCCAGGCTTTCTGAACACAAGTCGATGGGAGCTCGCTGAACACTGACTCTATTGCCAAGCTTTTCACTCATGCGCTGCAGAAAGCGTCCTCCTCGAACATCTTGCACAAGCGTCGCTCGTAGTCCTCCAATGATCTACACATGTCACATGGGCATGGGTACCCCTGCAATGCAGCTGGTAGAAAAGATGAGCACCCAATGCTTACAGTACAGGACCTCTTTTCATTTGTCACCCCAATGCCTGCGGAACATCATGTGCGAAGCCAAAGCTACACCAGTTGCTTCTGGCTCTCATCATGAGTAACCGCCCTCTACTCAGGGAAATTGGAATCGGAATATACATTAACATTATCTGAAAATACGGTATATGTCCCTGAAAATAGCAGTAAATCAAAATCACTTCAAGGTGACGTCACATCTTCGAGCTTAAACATTCCCAGATTGACCGCCCCAGATTGAATGCAACATACTCTTTAAGAATGTAAAATATGTCCAAACATTTAGATACTGATGGATCATGAAACACATTCTTAAATTATACCTTAAAATGATCCCAAGTGATCGGCAACTCTTCCAATCCCATTTGGGTCCCGTGTGGGTGACCCTCTGCACACGCGCTCGTCCTCTGCACACGCGCTCGCAGGCGTGATGCTGGTATCCGGCAGGATCTGGAGAGACGAGGAAAGACTATGTTACTACTAGCTTCTTGTTCCTAGTAGCTTCTTGTTACTACTAGTAAGGCACTTGTTACTAGAAGCGATGCACTTGTTACTACTTGAGAGGAGGGAGACACGAAAGGTAGGACAGCGGGAAGAGAAGAGAACGCGAGAGGCAGGAACAAAAATGCAATGTTCGACATGGTGATTTATCCCCTCGGAGGCGACCTTTCGTACATATATGTTCATATGCACTTTAAATGTTCAAACATGTGCTCTCGAAATGTTCAAAAAGGTTCTTAGGAAAACAAACTTGCCCCATGGCTCAGATCATCGGTGAGCATTGAATCGGAACATCATAGGATTTGAACTATCCTGAAACCATAAGAGGCTCACGAAGACGCTCCCCAGGAGAGAATTGACGTGCTTCACAAAACAAACTCTAGGTATGTATCCCCTCGGGGAACACCTTTCGTGATTAGAATTTCATATTCACTCTTTCTGAATGTTCAAGAGGGTTTCAACTATCCTGAAATCATGAGAGGCTCACGAAGACGATCTCCAGGAGAGAATTGATTTTAGAGCGGGGGAGGGGGGGGGGGGGG